TCACCGCATCGGTGTTGGCAAATGCGGAATTTTTGAAAAGCAAAAAAAGTGAAGAATGCATTTACGAACCCGATTTTGCTTTAAAAAGAGTAAGATAATAAATATACGCTGTGGAAAGAGGTTCATGCGAAAAAATAACGAATTAATTTCTTGTTTTTCATTCATTCCCACACGAGTTCAATTTCAATTTAAAATTTCTTTTTTAGTTTTATGTCAAAACAAAATGTGAATCTAACAGTAACACAATGGACCAATCTTGCCTGTGTACTTTACGGTAGACGTGTTAATCAAACCTATGTCAAAATTGAATGATGAATTGCCAAATATCAAATAATTAAATTAATATGTTTAAAAACAAAAAAGATGCAATGTATCGAAAAATAGAGTTGACATTTAATTTTTTTGCTATTTTCACAAAATTGTGCAATTTTTGTCAATTGATGATTCCGAAGAGACCCGATATTTAACGAATTATTTATAAGAAAAATTTTTGATGTATGTACTTATATAAAGAATATTATGCTTTAATAACTGTATGTATATGTTTCTTTTTATATGTATGTATGTATATTAAATACGTATAGCTCTATTATATCTATACTTTATATTTTTTTAGATTTAACTATCTACGAAAACAAACAAATACATATGTATGCACATATATTATGTATATTAATTGATATATATGTATATATATCTACTTATACTTATGAAAAACACGAAAAAAATGAAAATAAAACCAACATAAAAAATTACTTACCTTTTCTTTGTTCATAATTTTAATATTTTCAATTTAGTATTTTTTAATTGATAATTATTTTTTTTTTGAATTTTTCTTTATTTTTTAACAAATTTTTTTAGTTAATTATTTTCTTATATAACACTACATTAAATAATTTACTAATATTATTGCGCTCTGTATAATATTTTTCATTTTTTTTTTGTATTTTTTTCTTTAATTATTTATTAAATTGGAAAATTTCAAATTTTTTCACAAATTTTTTTATCTATATATATATCTATATATATAGTATGGTTTATAGATATATCATATTTAATGAATTATTATTCTATAATAAATAAATAACACAGTACAACCTTTAAACTGTTAAAAATGGTAATTTTATACGATTGATTAATTCTTTGCAGTTTTCATTCTTTTTTTTTTTGATTTATATTTCATTTGATTTTATTTTTAAAATTTTTATAATTAATATAAATTACATTATATTTAATACATACATATTTGTTTTTATTTTATTTTCTATATAGTAATTTTTAACAAATATATAATTTATAAAGATATACGATAATAAAAATTTTGATTTTTTTTATGTATATCTACGTATTATAAAAAAATAATTGATGGCAAGCAATTAAAATTTTTTCAAAAAGAATGAATTCGGAAGAGCAATCAAATCAATTTGTAATAGAATATATATTATTTTACCTATACATATGTATATGCGGTATTTTGTAACATTTTACTTTTTAACGAAGATGATTTTTATGGTTATCGTAAACAAATTATAAATATTTTAAATTAGAAAAATATTTTGTTGGAATTTATAATAAAAGTCAAAATAAGTTTTTCTTAGCAATTTTTTAAAATAGCATTCGTTAAGCTTTCGTTAAAATTGATTTTGATTCAATTATTTCGATAGAATCTATAGTATTTTGAATTTTCCGGAACTATTTTTTCAGTATAGATATTGTAAATTAAATAAAAATTCAAATTTATAAACAAATTTTTCTTGAATATTTTATCGTTGTAAAAAAAAAATATCTCAATTTTTGTGGTTTTACTATTTTGGCTTGTTTAATAATTATTAAACATAATTTATAAAAAATTTGTGTATATACATGTGTACAAGAATATCAGTTTATGATAAAAGTTCTGTCAAATTTTCATTTAATTTGACTTGTTTATTCAAGAAAAGAATTTTACTTTTTAATATATTTTTTTAAAAAAACTTATTGTGAATTATTTTTTTAAACAATTTCTAAATACTTGTGTAATTAAATTATGTTGCTATAACCATAAAGTAAAAATTTAAAATTGTGAATTTTACTATAATCTATTTCATATTTTTAGGCTATATAGCGATACGTAGACTAAAATTTATTTTAATATTATTAATATACTTTAAATAAATATTATACAAAATCAAAATACAATTTAATAATAATTATTAATTAAAAATAATAAAAATATTTAAATCAAAACTCATTTCGTGAATTTATAATTACTTTTTGTATATTGAAATAAATTTTGTTTTTAAAGGTTTTGTAAAATCATATAGCATATTTATAATTTTATTTCAATATTTTCGTCAAGTTTTATTATTCGATGAATATGTTATAGGAATTAAATTCTTTCTAATGGATATTATCTCGTAGTATGGTAGTAATAAACAAATTTTTAAAAATATAATGTATAATAATTAAGATAAAAAATTAGTTTTTATTATATTGCATTCTTAAATTATATAAATCAGTTTTATATTAATTTTATAATATTATTTATATATTATAAGTGTTATATTTATGTTATATTTTTATATATAATATAGGTTTGTTTTTTTTTTTTTTTAAATTATTGTATGTCTGTTTTGTAGTATATTATTTAAGTATGTAGTTTTTAAAAATTTTTTTATTTAAAGTATAATAGTTTATTATAGTGTATGAGACTGTATATTTGTTTTCTTTTTTTGATTTTATGCTTTTAAGCCATATTTTTTTTAAATATTTATTATAGTTTTTATGTATTATATAATATATAATACATACATGTATTTAAGTATATATGTATGTATTCGGGTTTTTTTTAAATAATATTATTATTGCAATGATTTGGGTTTCCGGTTTCTCTTAAATTTCAAATTTATTGTAATATTTTGTGTATGACTATTTTCATTTAATGTTATATTTTGTAAAATTATAATTAATTAAGTATATTGTTTTTATTGATTTTCTTTTGCAAAAAAATTTAAGAATTTATTTATTAAATTTTCTATTTCATTTGTTTAATATTGTAGATTTTGATTTTTACAATAAGTGTTATTATTATATGATTTTTTTTAAATTTTATTAAAGGAAAACAATATAATAAAAATAAAAATTAATATAAACCATATTATTATATATTTTCGTTTTTTTTTTTTTGATTTAAACACGAGGTACATTTATATATTTTGATAATTATTATAATAATTTTATATTAATTAATTTAGAGTTAAACATCTATTTAAGTATTTTTTTTTTTAATATTTATGCTTTTCAATTTATAGTTCCGTTCTTGTATGAATTTATATTCTTTACGTTCTGATTTTCTTGAATATTTAAACTGCTTATATGGTGTTATTAATTTGATTTTTGTCATTATTTTTATATTTTATTAGATTTTTTTTTATTTTCTTTGTTTTAACAACTCTCTATATATATTTAACGAAAAATGTTTATTATTAAATTTTTTATTTTTAATATTGTATGTATGTGTATAATATGTATTTTGTTATGTATTGTTTCATAAAATTTAAGTGTTTAATTACAATTTGTTTTTTTTTTTATTTTAAAGTTTTTTTTTTTATTGAAAGTGTGTAACTATTATATAATAAACTTTAACAACATTTAAATGAATAACCTGTTTTTATATTTGCTTTGATTTTTGTATTGTTTTTTTTTTTTTGGAATTTTTTAAAATGTTTTTGCAAAATAACGCCTATATTTATGCAATATATTGTTTTATTAATTAATTGTTTTAGTTTTTATATTTTACGTATATGTATTTTGTATCTATAGTGTTTTTATTTTAAATAATATAGTTATACGTAATTATTATTTTCTTTAATGTTTATCTTTGATTTGCGTTTTTTAAATTTCTGTTGTTCAATTTTATGTGTTGTTTGCGTTTACTTATTCTATATTATATATTCCAGTGTGTTTTCATATATCGTTTGTTTTACTTATCGTTCTTATATATTAAATAAATTTCGTTTTAAATTAAATTCATCTGGTTATTTTATTCGTTATAATTTTGGTTTAGAAACGTCCATTTTTATTTATAATTTATTTATTTATTTTTTAATTTTTAGAAAAATAGTATGTTAAGGTTTATATTTTGCTTTAATTTATTTTCGAAAGATTTCGAAATACATAATATTTCAATTGGTGAAAATGATGTTTGTTGGCGGGAATGAGTTTTTTTTGTTGATTTAAGATGGTTTTCTGTTTTGTGTTTTTTTTGGTATATTATTTTAATTTTAATGATAAAGAAGCCTGTATGTTTGTTTTAATTTTTGTTTTTGGTTTATATTTAATATGGAGATATTGTTTTCAAGATTGGAATTATTTGTTTTATTATATATAGATATAATAGAAATTTTAAGGAACAATTTTAATTTATATTATGTAAATAATTAAAGTAATTTCTTTTTTTGTTTTGTATTATAATTTCATTGAAATGTTGAAAGTTTTCAATACATATATGTAGGTACATTATAATATTTTTTATAATATGTAGGAATTTGAAAAATATATAATTATATTGTTTAAAGCTATAAAAATAAAATTTTATGATTTTTAATTGTAAAATGGGTTTTTTAAGTTATGAAAATTATGAGATAAAAATAATGAATTTTGTAATTCTTTCAATTTCTTATGTAGAATTTCATATTAGATAAAATAATTTATAGCTCTTTTTGAAATTATAAGTATTATATTTTTATTTCAAAGTAAATGAATTAGAAGAAATGATAAACTCATTTAAATTATTCACAAATTGTTAATATTTTGTTATAAAAATATTATTGAACAATATTTTGAATTTTTTGTTTTGCTTCATAAAATTGTTCATAAGTAAGAAAAGTTTTATGTTTATAATTTGTATTTATATTTTAAATAAATTTAATTTATTACACATAATAATTATTAATGTTTCTTGTATTAAAATTAACCTCTATATAAAATAACCCTTTTTTTGGTTTTTTTGAATTCTTCTAATTTTACTCAAATTTAATATATTCTATGAATATAAAAAAATTAACATGTATAAGTACATATTATCTTAAAAATTTGTTATATAAATCGGTTTTGATTGTTTTAAGAAACCTACTTATGAACGATAAGTTTTGTTTTGTATAATAAAAAAAAAACGAAAGCAGAAAGAAAAACAATTATTTGATATATAAATAGGAAAAATATATAAAAAGTTTGGTATTGTCTTAAAAAAAAAATTAGTATTAAAATTGTTATAACTGTTATACACATAATTAGAAAACTGTTATACATATAATTAGAAAACTGTTATACAAATTGTATATAAAAATAATTACTATGAGTTCTTTTTTATATTCAAATTTTCGTATTTCGCTTCGATAATTTTTCGTTAAGTTAATAAATTTTATGCTTTGGCTAAATATTAATCAACGCATTCCGTTTTGTAGTATTACAGTAAACGAAAAATGAAAAAATAAAGTTGAAGATAAAATATGCATTCTTTTTGTTTTTTTTTTCTTTTGATTTTTATAAAAAATATATATTTATTTTTTAGAAATTTATTTAGGCGCGAGAATTTTATGATATAATGGGGATATGAATTTTAAAAGAAAAGTCGATACGTTTTCGATGTTTTATAATAATATAAGTTGTGAGATTTAGGAAATATAGATATCGATTGAATCAACTTTAACAATCACTTTAATTTCATATTTGTATGTGCAAGGGAATTTTACGTGCGTTTGGGTAACGTTTAAGATAACAACGATTATTAAAAAAAAAAAAATAAACACTAAACTCAAACTGTCGGAATAAAACTCTTAGCAAACTGTAAGCGTTTCTTTTTTGTTTTAATGTTATCTTTTGGTGGTTGAGAGTGATAACGGTTCTTTTTTTAAATTTTGAAAGCATCGTATTTGTGATATTTTTTAGTAGTGTTGTGTTTAATATGGCTTTTTTTTAAATTCTTAATTAGTTTTGAATATTGTGTAAAATATTTTAGGTGTGCAGGAAGATTTTATTTTAGAGAGCGTATGTGTACGTGCATATTGCGATTCATTTTTTGAAAGTGGATCAAGAGAGTGGTCACAGAGTTTGGAGTGGTGAACTTGATTGAAAAGATTAAAATTTAAATGGGATTTCAATGAAGTTTTTTGTAACTTTATCGAATATCATTTAAATAGATGGATATGTTCATGAAAATATTTTATTTTGAGTGTTTCAAGGACCCTAAGGGTTTACAAAGCGGAAGTAAAACTAAAGACTTAGAAATGAAGATTAAAATTTTAACAATGTATTTCATAAAAATCATGACAGTCAATACAACCACCACTTGGACGTCTTTGGTGACCACCACCGCCATGACCACTAGCACATGTCCCGTTACCACCGCCACCACCCATATCAAATGAACCAGTTTCAAAACTCTCAGCCGATGAATTTGATAATCCGCGTGGTACTTTTCTCCGCGTACGACTTTGTCGTACGCGGGCTCTCTGCTAGGAGGGTTTGCGTTGATAAAGACATTCAACGCATGCTTGATTTTCCATAGCACGATGTATAGTATCAGTACAACGTGATCCAGACGATTCATAACCGCCCATTGCACTATGATAACTTGCGAATGGATTTTCAGCTGACTTAGAACGGATAGGTCCGACTTGTTGTTGTTGTTCGAATGTATTAATTGTATAAATACGTTCCGGTGAAATACCATAACGATAGCAGGAACTGCTTGTTGTACTTTCGCGTGAGGTAGAACGTTCAAGTGATTTACTTAAACGTTGTTTACCATTATCATTACTTCCGTTAATATGATGTGAGCTACCAGATCCAGTACGTATTGCAACATAATGATCACTTGACGTACGATTATCATATATAGGATAATAGTGATAATATGGTTCGATGCTACTACTTACAGTAATTTTTTGTGTATCAATATTACCATGAGCGCTAGCGCTACGTTTTCTACCATTACGTTCAGGTGAACGGGATTCAAAGCTACCGCGAGGGCTACAACGCAGTGGACAATGATGAGCTTCAAGAATTTGATTATCGTAGTAATTACGATTATCAAAACTGCTACGTGGCGAAAGGTGTCTACTACATTGACCACTACGATCTGGTGATAAATGTTCAATACTACTCCGGGGGGATAAGTGCGGTGAACTACGTGATTCAATGCTACATTCATGAGAGGATAAAGAAGGTGCGTGCAATTGTTTCTTTAAACAACTTCGATCTGGTGAACGACCTTTATGTGGGCTTGAAGATGGTTTCAAAATGCTAACGGATTGATTAATAATATTACAAGGACTTTGGCTACGTTTTAGTATACCCGAACCACTTTCGGATTGCCGGCGTGGACTTGGAGTACGTCTACCAGCTGATAAACGATCTTGTGAACTATCGCGACTTAAACTTAAACGTTGATGTTGTTTACCTTGATCTATACTAGCACGAGGAGATTTTACTTTAATTATTCTTATTGGACTACTACCTTGAGATTTCGAACGATCAGGAGATACATAAATACTTTGGCGAGGTGATTTAGTCCCTTTCTTATTATTACTACCATTACTACCATTACTAGATTTACTTGACTTATCACTAGATGATTTTGATTTAAATACTTTATCAACTTTTTTATCAATCACTATTGGTGGACTACTACGTGATATAATATGATGTCCACCTTCTTCAGAATCTTCTGATTTTTCTGTACAAGTACCTGAAGCAGAGCCGATACCACGATCGCTGCTAGTATCGCTATCCATAGTTGTATTAATTACACCACCACTACGAGGTGGTGATGAAATTTCTGCAACTATTGTAGTTTGGCAAGCAGCAACTGTGCTTTCAACTACAGTTTCAGGTTCTGGTGATAAACTTGAATCCATTACTTGTTGGTTTGGTGATTCTTCACCATTAGCTATTTTTAAATCATGTAACTCTTGTGATTCTAAAGTTTTTTGTCTTAAATCTGCCATATATTCGGCAATATCAACGGTTTCAGTTAAATTTTCTCTTTCTAAATCACTTAATTGTTTATCCATAAAACGATTTGATTGCTCTTCATCACCATTTTTAACTAATTTAACTGTATTATTACTAAGTTCATCTTCTGCTTGACTAAATATTTCAATTATTTGAATATCTTGTGTTGGTGACTGTTTAGGTGATTTTATAATTCGACTACCATTATCACTACTACCATTTATATTATTATTAATATGATTATTATTGTTATTATTATATTGACTATGACTACATGTACTGCTATGTTTAGTTGCTGTTGAAGTTAATATTGAAGGTGATGATCTTTGCTTACCTAAATCTTTCATTAAAACTGGTTGATAAGTTGATGGTGGATGAGATGATTGTATCAATCGCGCCTGGCTACCAGTACTTCCAACTGATAATGTTGATGTTGTGCTACAAATTCAATAATTTTTTTTTCCAACAAACATTATTGTTAGGTTGATTTTAATAAAACACAATCCGGAACAAATTAGTGAAGCAAAGTAATTGAATAGTTATTGATATTAGTAATTGTTACATAAAATGCATGATCGTTAGCGTACAAAAAAAACAAAAGATAATAGTTTAATAAGTATGATAATTTTTCCAGGTTAGGAGTGAAATTTAAACCAGATTGACAGTTACCTTAATGTTAAGTGATTTGGTGTTTTCCCTAAAGTTGCTTTAGTTTTAATAGTACCATGTTGTGAATCTTCCTCACCTTCCGATTTTGTACCAGGATCCGAACGATCTTGTTGTTCAATAACATGAATATGTTTTGGCGGAGCATCTATTTAACAAAAAAGAAATCATTTTTATAAATTTTATTTAAAAAATTGTTAAAATTGTAATAAAGTTTAATTGTTATTTGTAAATGATTGAAAGAACTAAGTATAACCAGGAGGAAAAAAGCAATTACCAGCAGCATCACCAACAGTTTTACTTCTACTTCTAAATGTAGTAGTTTGAGGAACATCATCAGCTTCTTGACTTCCTGATAGATTGTCATAATCGATATTACCAGCTGAATGTCTTTGAGAACCAGATTTTTTCTTTGTTTTACCCAATGTTTGAGACCCTTGTATAATTGTAATCTTGAATAAAATACAATATAAAATTAATAAAATTGAAAAACTTTTAAATATAAATAAATTTTTAAATACCTGTTGTTTAGGTCGCTCTAATGTTTGTGAATTACCAGAACCCGAACTTTGTGTACCCATACCTGATACCGAACTTACACTACCACCAAATGATTTCATTGGAATTGACATATTTCTAACACTTTCACGTATTATTTGACGTATCGTTTTTAAGAATGCATTACGAAAATCAGCTGTACTATTTGATAATACATAAACTTTTTCAGAACGACGTTGTAATTGTGAACGTAAATGTATCAATTCCCATAGAAAATGTGAATCCATATCTTTAGCTGATGATGCACGAACTTGAACTTCAGTAACTGGTATTAAAACTTGATAACGTATTATTTCAACTTCATTTGGAGCGTTTTTACTCGATACGCCCTAAAACATATATCAAAATATGAACAATTAGCAAAAAAAAAAAATTTCACTTATTCAGCAACATTCTTTTAATTGCTGAATATATCAAATCACAAGATAGTTTGAATTCAATTCAAAAATTCCACCAACTATTATTAAAATTTTAAATTACCATTAATTTTTTCTTTTGTCTTAAACGTTCTTTACAAAGGAACACAACCGCTGATTTAAATACAAAGCACATTGCATGTAATTCTAAACCTTTTTTGATTTTACCCAAGAAATCTGATATATTTAACCACTCAACACCACCATAATATAAAAGATCACCTTTAGAAAAAAATTACAATAATAATTATGTTAATATTAATAGATTTTTGTAATGATATTATAATTTTATTTACCTGGACTAAGATCAATAGGTTGTTTACATGATTTTTGATGTTGTCGGAATAAATGATCAAATATAGCACCATATTCTTCATGAATTCGTTGCATTTCATTAATATGTTCAGCTACCTTTTCCATACCTTTTAGGGCTTCTAAAATTTTTTACAATTATAAAAATATTGTTTAATATTATTCTATAAAATAAAATAATAAGTGAAAAATCACTGATTATACCTGTACGAACGTATGTTCGAAGGGTATACTAAATTTGCCTTACCGTTTGTAACGCTAAGAAATAACTGTGTTAGATATAGACTCAAGTGTATGTTTTTGATCAGCGTCAAATTCTGAGTTGATTTAGCTTTGTCTGTCCGTCCGTCCGTCCGTCCGTCCGTCCGTCCGAACGATAACTCAAAAACTAATTGAGCCAAGTTCACCAAATTTTCACAGATGATTTATTGTAGTAATTGCCAGAACCCTATTTAAATTGGACGTGATCGGGGTACCGGTTCGGGTAGCTGCCATACAACTTCAATAGTAGTTTGGCACAACCGGAATTTGGAAAAACACATAGTACTGAAATTTTGCATAAATTAATATGGTAATACGGCAACTTTAAGTCATAGTCTGCCCCATATTTAGTTATGGCACATTAGTTATTCGCACATAGGATAACAAATTCGTACGGGTATCACAGAGTTGACAAGGTCAACTCTATTTTTTTCTCGTTTTAATTAAAAAATAAGACGATTTCAAAAAATTATTGGGAAATTCGTTTGTCTTAGCTAAATTGAATTTTAAAACCCTGTTACGGCATAATAATTTCTCCAAATTTTTTGAGTTATTAATAAAATCACAAAAAAAAATAACGTATACTTGCCTACTAAATGCAAATGTTCTTCAGCACGAGAATCAGTTAAATTTCTCAATTGCTGTAGTAATAACGGATATTTTAGTATCCTTTGAATTGGTTTTATCAAATATGATTCCAATGTACAACTATGCTGTTGTTTCGGATTTCTAGCTGCTAGAAATTCTTGTAATGCCTGATTACCTTCATCTACAATTAAAAAAAATTTCAATTTTTTTTTAATTATTTAATGAAATATTGTAATTAAATTTAAATTAATGAAATGATCTCTAACATTAAAATTCCAAGAATAAGAGTATTAATACATAATTCAGCTTAAGAGGTTTAATTGCTGAATTATGTATTTATATAAAATTATTAAAAATTTGAAACTTTCTTTTTCAGAATTCAAACAAGTTTTATAATTTTGTTCAAATTTGGCTTAATCGATTTCATTTATTTATCGGAAATATTCAAAATTTACTTCATATTTGGATGAGCATATGTTTTTGAATGAATATCTATGGTTTAATAATTGAATGGGTTAAAAAAATTAAAGAGCAATGAGTACATCATAATTATACGAATGTAAAAACATTCTTTTCATCTGCTCTAACATATTTGTTTTAATAATTTTTTATTATTTAGTAGTATTACTTTCAATTATTTTATGAAATTTGGGAAAATATGAAAATTATTAATTAAGGTACAAAATTAGAAACAGGAATGGGGTAAGGAAATTCACAAAAAAAAATATTATTTTAATATTTAATTAAAAAACCAAAAAAACACGTATATGCTGCTATGCACATAAATTATATTTAATTCAAAGTTTACAATTTTTGGTTATACAAATTCTTGTGTAATTTTGATTTTAGCACAATTTATTCGCTCTTATACACGTGTAAGCAATTTTATATAAAAATGAATTTAAAGTATTTTACATAATATACGAGTATAGAAAAAATTCAAGGATTCACTTTTAAATATTATTGAAACAATTAACATAAAAAAGGAAAAATTAAAAAAAAATTAAATTATTCTTACTCTTGTAATGCACATTTCTTGGTAATTCCAAAAATAAATTAATAATGCTTATAAATTTTTGTTCTTTTAATTTTAATATTAATTTCAAAATTATCCTGAATATTCAAATTTGGCACGCAATACATATAATTATAATTATACATGTGTAGACATACATAAATCAAAAGTATATCAAATTTTAAAATTTTTAAAATATTTTTTAGTTTTCTTTTAAAATATTTTTAAATTTGGAATATTTTAATTATTCGATTCTTCTTTAGAAAAGAATGTTAAAAAAATGTTAAAATTAATTTAATAAACGCCTGTATTTGATAATGTTAAATATAAAATATTCTTTGGCATGAGGACCAATGAAATTTCTCAATTGAGAATTTAAAATTTTCACATGTACATAATTTGAATTATTATAAAAATGTTAAAATAGTATTTATTAATTAAATTAAAATAATAATTTTATTTAATTTTGAAAAAGAAAGACAATATAAGGATTTATCTTTAATTTAAAGAAAATTAATGAAATTCGGATTGTGTGCATATGATACATACCTATACAAAAATTAAATTTTAAAATAAATTACAAATTTATATTAAAAATTCTAAAATTTTTTGTATTTTGTATTCTAAGAATTGTGTAATAAATTTTTTTATTAATTATTTGTAATATGATCAAGGAGATGATTGTATTGTGCTAACGCAAGAAATAATAATTGTTGTATAACACAATTCTTGTATGGTATGATAAACATGTATGATTAGAATAGTATGATTGTTCTTTTTTTATGTTATAATCATAGGTTTTTTTAAGCTTATTTCCGATTTTAAATTATTCTTATTCTAATTATTTTTAAATATCTATTATTAAAATAATTATTTTAAAAATTACTTACTTGGATGTAAAACTTTTTGTGCTTTACTATGACTAGCACAAAATGATGAATATAATTTAAAATGATTAACATAATACAGAAAAGCAGATCCGATAGCAAAAAGGACATTCTGAAAATAAAAAATACAAAACAAATAAGAAAAATGAAAAATCCAATTTAAATTTTATAGAAATTTTTTAATTTTTGAAAGAATACATTTAATTGCTATTGTTAATAATTTCAAAATTTTATTAGTAAGTACTAGGAAATACAACAAACTATATTGTATCATAGTATTGTTTAACAATTTTAAGTCCTAATAATAAATAACATCAAGATAAATAAATGTCGCTTACAATCAGATGCGTCATTCCGTCAGAAATTTGGTCAGTTTCCTAAAACTTAAAATTTGAAGCTTATTAAACTGCAATTTTTGTTTTAAATTATGGGCATTATTTCAGTTCATAGGCAAATTTCTGTACCGTAATTGATATATTTCGCTTTCAACTGGTTGTTATGCAACCTACTACTTTTCGAAAGTATAATATAATTTAAAATTTGTTATATGTTTCTTTATTCGTCCACAATATTTCATAAAAATATGAACTTAGATTAGAACTCGCGTATTTAATGTTGAATCGAAATTTTCCAAAATGTTCTTAAATGTTGCAACAATTTAATTTTCCTAATGTATACAATTTTTTTTAAATTTTTCTCGAAATTGCTCAAAATTAATTATTTTAATGGCATTTAATTTTAGTAACACATTCTTCTAAGAATTTATTACTTCGTATACATATACATAATATAATTATATAAAATTTTTTATATTCTTATTAATAATGACGAACAATAAAATTAATAATTCTTAAAAATAAATTCATTTTAAGTCATAAAAATAAAAATAAAGGTAAAAATTTTTTATTTTTCTATTAAATTATAAATTGGAAAAAAATTGGAAAAGTTAAACTTTTCTTTGGAAATTTGTCAGAAATTTTCTTTTTCTTTTTTGTTTTTATTTTTAATTTTATTAAATTAGAAAAAGATTTTTATTAGATCAATTTTTCATTTTCAATCAAAAGAGTAAAATAAAAAATAATTTTTTCAATATTAATTTCATAATTTTTATGGTGGAAGAAAAGAGAAAGGAAGAACAAAAATTGAAAATTTGAAGCAGAGCAAAAAAAAAAATTATATTTTTTTTAAGTATGGTAGAAGTTTTTGTTCTTGATTTCTCAATGAAAATTTTGATAATGCTTAATTTTCAACGATGAATTTAATATATACAGGCACCTTTTAAAAAAGACTACTGTCACTCATATGATAAAGTTGAAAATTGCATATTTCGAATTCTCACGAAAAATTATGTTTGGAGGAAATTTGATTTTTTCATTACAATTGGCAGTTTGTGCCCATAATGTCTATAATTTGAATTCAACTTAGAAGAGAAAAATTTACATTAATTTTCTTTCACTTTTGTTAATTATTTTGTTTTTGTCCTTTAAGTTATCCGAAGCATGCAAAATTTTGCTGAATTATTGCTCTGAAAACGGAAAATTCAAACACAGAAAATTCAATATTTCGATTTCGTACTAATCTCACTTATCCAATTTTCATTAAGACTGTAGTTCGTAATAAGTATGGTAAATCAATAGGTAACAGTTAAAATGATTTTTATTAGTGATATTCGGAACTTTATTCTCATTAAATATTTCCAGTTTCGTACTCTTGAAGAATTGTTGGAATTTTTAAGCGCGTGACAATTGCGGTTTTCGTTTGAAAAATTGTGCAATTTTGGAGTGCACACAGCATTTCTTACGTGCTATAACTCGGGCTCGTTCTTCGACATATTTTTTACAATATTTAATCAAATAAAATTATACGATGAAAATTCAATTTAAATTAAATCAATTTATTTATTTTTTTCCTCTCTTTAATAATTACAACAATAAAAAACTTCATATATCCATTTTTTTTACCCATTTTATCAAGGACATTAAATAAATATTTTCCTGTTCATTTATATTTTATTCAATAAAATTAAATGAAATTTTTCATGAAAAATTGAAATATTCGAATGAAAAACGATTTATTTACCACCTTATTTCAATTTTTATAAAATTTTACATTTTTCTTTTTTGGCAACAATTTGTGATTAATAAAAAAAAAATTGCATTCAATTTATTGTTGAAAAAATATTAATGTGTATATATATAGGTGCTATATATAGGTAAAATACTTCATCTTTTTAAATTTCTCACTTCAAATAAGTCAGATAGAAATAGAATAGCAAATTGATAAAGAAAGAAAAAAAAAATTAAATAAATTGAAATAAAATCTGAATTTATACCATTTTTATCCTTTTTTTGCAATTTTTTACTTTTCATTTTTTTTTTTCTTTTTGAGAAAAAAAATCCTTAAGTTCATACTTTTCAATTTAAATTTGACGAATTTTTTGTCATTTTTTTTTATTATTATTGTTGTTGTTATTATTTTCTTTAATAAATAGTTATATAAAATTTTTTATGATATAAAAGATGATTTTAAAGGAACAAATAATAAGAAATCCAGAATAAATACAGACTGAAAATCAAATGAATATTGATAACAAGTGACAGACATGAATAGTATAAAAGTTCTGTTAATAATTCAAGCTAAATATACGTGTAGCAATTTCCAGAAATAGTAAAATTTGAAAGAATTCCGAAATAGGAATTTGGGTAAACAAATATCTGTTTGGGTATCTAATTAATAGAAAACACTTGTTTTCTTGTCGGAAATCAAAAATATTTTAAAATTTGTCAATCGTTCTAATGCTTAATGCTTCTATTCCTACATATTTCAGTAATTGGAATTGCTAATTTAATTAAATTATATAAATTGTGTGAAAATTTGATATTAAAATACAATTTGGATGGTTAGATATGCTATCTGAGGTTTACCCTAATGACGCATTTATGTGCAGGTATTATGATTGCATATTCATGTTCATAATACTTTTTTTTTGGAAATTTACAAAAACGGAATGAAAAATTTATAATAACTTTTGACATTTTGGTAGTTTTTGTATATTCGTAGGTGAAAAATGTATACCTACACCTTACAATGTAATGCAAGAAAAAGTATAAAAATGATTAAAAATAGAAAAAATAAAAATATAAATTTTAAATTGAAAAATATAAAATTTATTTTATTATACAAAAAAAAATATTTGTATAAAGAAAAATATATTTTAAGGTGGAGCAGAAAAAAAACGCGATATACCATTAATATTGCATTATTAAAAATTTAAGTATGAGTATAAGAAGTATGAAAAGCAACGTTCAACGAACAACGCTCACACCACAGAAAAATTCAGATTCAAAATTTTCTTAAGACTTTTGTATTCAAATACACGATTTTTGAATTGATTTGGCGTATTGAGTTTGCTAAAGTAACAAGTACACCCTTTAATAATTCATGTGGTGACTTTTACTTAACAATAGTGGTTATATTCTTTCAAATACAATAAAAAGTTTCAGTAAAATGTTTAAAAATATATATATTTCATTTTTATATTATTCTTACCTTAAATTGACTTGAATGTTCAAATTTATGAAAATCAGGTTCTAATTCAAGTGCTTCTTCCAAATTTTGTAAGAATTGCCTTTGGAATGTGAAAATTTCCTGTATATTACCAAATAAAGCTGTAATTTCTGCATTTGATAGGAATGTCTCACGTTTTAATGGTTCTAAATAATGTTCCATGACATTATTTAAATGCTAAAAAACAAAACAATGAAAAAGAGTTGAAAATTAATTTTTTTTTTTTTCAAATCAATATAAATATATTTTTTTGTAATTTATAATCATAATAAATTGTAATTTACTGAAGAGAAATTTAATATAGGGGTTTCCATATATTTCGAATTAAATTAAACTACAAGAAGATTTTTCATAAATTAGAGAAAAATTCGAGTTTAATATACAGACAATTCAAAGCAAAGCTACCAAGTGTATAAGAAAGTTTCGCTAAGTAAAAATTTAATCCTTTATGATCCCTACCATGTGGTGGGTAATATCCAATACTCTAATACTATATTAGAGCAATTGTGTTGAAATATTGTAGTTAATACCATTTAATAATAATAAATCGGTAATATTGCATACTTATGGGCACATTTCTTTTTCTTAATGTTCTTTCGTATAGTTTTCTCCTTTTCTTTTCTAAATTCTATTAACAAAAAACAAAAAAAAATAAATGAGAGGAAAGTCGAATTAACTTTTTTGTACAGATTAAGATTTAAATAATAATTTCCTTTTTTTTTAAAGAATAGAATTAAAAGAAAAATCAAGAAAGGAAGAAAAGAAAACTGACAGAAGTAACAAAGAAAATAAATAATCTTTTGTTTCGTTTTTTTCCTTTTTATTTTGTGTTTTCTCATTCTCTCTTTTTTTCTTTTACAAAATTTTAATGCTTGTTATTTTTAATTTTTTATGCAAATCTCTTATTATATTTTCGCAACATGAAAATGTTGCTGAAGAAAAGAGAAATACTCATTTATCAACAAAAAAAAATCTACTGAACAAAGTATTATAAAAATTATAATAATAATAAAAGAGAAGAAGAAGAGAGATAAAAAATAACAAACAGAAAACAAAATATAAAAGAATAAATGAGATGAAACCAAATTTAAGAAAATGGAGATGAATAGGTGGCCTTAAAGTAAGTATATGTAAACAATTAATTTTTGTATTATCATTCATTTGGTATTCAAGAAAATTTATGATATCAGGCGATCAAGACAAATATTTACATAAGTTTAAAAGGCAACCATTTTCTGGGTGCAATCTATGGACAGATAATTTTTAAAGAGTTTTCATTTGTGGGAATCAAGTATCTTTATACTTGTGTTTAACTGATTAAAGTATAACAACGAGTAGGTAATTTTTGTTTAAGCATAAAATTACGTTCTTGGAAAAATAAAATTATAATTGGTAAAATTATAAAATTATAGTGGTAATTTGTAATCTTAAATAAAATATTTGTTAGATATGAAATTTTCATAAAATAATTGATTTTTAAATGGTTGTTTTATGTGATTTTTTATAATAAGGCTAGTCTATACAAAGTAAAGATTATAAGGCTAGTCAGTACACAGTAAGGCTAATCGCTCACCTACAGTTAACGCAACGACTTAATAAAACTGAACCATGGCTCTAAATTTGAATAGAAGTTTTATCCTCCCAACTAGAGTAAGAAGAAGAAAATATAATACATGAACGTGACTCTTATAAAATAATTTAATTACAATAAATTCTTACATTTGAACAACAACAAAAAATTTAATGCGAACATTTTTTTTTGCTTGTCATCCTTAACATTCTTATATTGTTTGTTCTAAAATTTTTAATTTAATAGAAGAATTTTCCAGCTAAGGATCAGATTATTTATTTTATTTTTTTCTTTTTATATAATTTTTATATATTTTGCTATTCTTGAAATCTTTTTCTTCCCTTAATTTTTCATTTCGCAGTAGAATATTAGATATTATAGGGAAAAGTTTTATTTATATAATTATTTCATTATTAAAGTTTTCATTTTGAATCCTATTATATATGAAAAAAAAAATTTTAGGCCGTCTTCCTTTTCATTACTAAAAAATTTTACTATATATACATTAAATATATGTATTTTAAAATATTCTTAATAATATCCTTGAAAAGATTTATAGGAAAGTTGATGAAAAGTTTTCTTTCTTCCTTACTTTTTTGTTGTTGTTTTTGTTTTCTATAAGGTCTAGGATATTATTTTAATTTAATGTTGAGAAAAAAAAAACTTAAATGCAAAACTGTTATATTAAATTTTAAAGTTTTCAGTTTTAAACTTTTCATTCATTTTTTGTTTTTACTTTTCTTCAGAAAAAAAAAATTATTGACTAGGATTTTTCTCGGCTTTAACTTTAACTTAGAATAAACTTGAATAATTTAGAAGTAGATAGTAAAATTTACATAAAATTTTATTAAATTATTCTATTTTTATTTTCTCTTTTAGGTAACGGTTTTAGGTAACGGTTATGCAAGTTACTATATAAGTTTTAACTTTAAAAAAGAAAAATATTTCAAGTATTTAAAATTTTTAAGTACAACAAACTTTGAATAAATATCTTTTAATATAAAATTTAAAAATTAAATAAAATTAATAAAGAATAAATTGCCTTAAAGAATTTATTTAAAAAAAAAATTGATTTCGTTGTGTTTTTAATTGAAAAGTAGCAAATTTCTTAAAGATTCACTTTTTCTTAGTTATTGAGATTACGAGCTGAGATTCTTAACAAAATTTTTGATTATTTGTACTTGTAAATGAAATTTGAAGAAATTAACTCGATTTCATTTCAAATTTTAAAATATATTAAATTTTAGTATTAGCCATAAGGCTGAGTTTTAGTATTTGTCATAATAGCAAAGAAAATTTTCATTTATATTTGTCTCTGGTAAAAGTAGGACCAAAAATGAAAAATTGTAAATATTAGAAAAATTTTCAATAAATTCAAAATTGAAGTTTTTTTTTATTTTTTTTTTAATAAAACATAAGATTGTATATTTGATTATAGTAATAAAATATCAATTTCTGATATTAAATATTTTTTTCATATTGTTGAAATATCGTATATGAGACTTTTACTTCAGATTATTTATTTAACACACACACACCCCCAAAATATGTAAATTCGTATAAATTTTTCTATTATAAGAGCCTAAACATAAATAGATAGAATTTATTAGAAATAAATTTTTAATAAATAAAATCCAACTATCATTACCATAATATTCTTAAAAAGGATATTTTTTGAAGGGAGCGGGTAGGGAAAATAACTAATTTTCAATTTAATTTTTAGTTTTTATCTTTTATGAAATTTTGTAAATATTTGGACATTGTCAATATTTTCTTATTTTTTTTTTTGTTTCTAAAATTAAAAAGAAATTTAATATTGGGTTTCTAAAAATTCATTTCTTTTGAAAATCTAACTTTTAATTTTTAAATAAAATCTATATACAAAATAATATTTTCTATTTATATCTACACTGTAAAAAATTTCAAGTATTTTTAAACAAATATTTTAAGAATTTTTCATTAATATTTGTGGGAAAAATTCGTGTAAATATTAAAATTTTAAATATTTTATATTTAATTTAAAACATTTGTGTATTTAGTGTTCAATTTTATATTTTTTTTTTAATAATTTTTCCGAAATTTACTTAGAAAAAAATTACAATCACACAATATCGATTGAATATTCAACAAATTTTTTAATATTTTTTTTTGGTTATAATTTTGCAATTCATTTTTTTTACTGTGTATTTATATTTTAACAGGAATTTGTAAATATTTATTTAATAATATATAGAAAAATTCTTAAAAACGAAAAGGAAAAAATAGAAAATATCGGTAAATATTTTAAAAAATATTATTTTCAAACATAATAAATAAAATATCGAATATAAGAAAAAAAAATAATGTTTTTCAATAGAAAAAAAATTGTATTTTATCTATACAAAAAAATAAATAATAAATTTCTAATTCTTTGTATTTAAAAATTTTATAATAACAATATTGAAATAGATAAAGAAGAAATTTTAAGTATTTAAACAAATTCACATACTTATTAAGTATAAATAATAAAATATATTTTCTTTTATATTATATAACATATTTGTGACATAGTGTATAACAAAATAAGGTTTCGGAATTTATTCATTATTAATGTTCAAAAATAATTGAAATATAATAATAATACGAATAAATTATAAGGTTCGTCTATAATTCCGACGTGATGAGTTTTTCCAAATTAATTCATCACATGAATTTTATAAACAACTTCTAAAAATTTGAGAGTGATAGGATTAGTAGTGTAGGAGTAATAGTGTAGGAGTATATTACAAATTTGAATGATTAACATGTCTGTTCAATTTGTATGATCACAATTTGCGTGACCAACTTGCAAGACCAAATCCAATGATAATGTCTTTTATGACAAATTTGCATGACAAACTTGCTTGACCAATTTGCATGACCAACTTGCATGACCAACTTGCATGATCAACTTGCATAAACTACTTGCATGATCAACTTGCATGACCGACTTGCATGACCAACTTGCATGACCAACCTGTACGACCAACTTCAGATCGACATACATGACCAATTGGGATTACCAATATAGTAAAATTTTATGATTAATTTGCGTGATCAACATGTTCAATGTTCATGAACAATTTGCATAATAAACTTCAAGTTGCATGATGAACTTGCATGACAAGTTATCATAACCAATATAACTTTCAACGAAATGAATAAAAAGCCTAAAAGAATGGAACCAAAAATATTTCTAATGTAAATTAAATCTTTTTGTTTTTATCATGCACACGCACACAAATAGAATTTCAATTAAAATTATAAGGGAATGTAACAATGGTGTATTATAAGTAGTTTGATAATTTTGAAAAATCTTTATTGGTAATTTTCAAAAATTGATAATAAATAATATAATAGCGTATATAACCAAAATATTTGGGAATTGTGATTGAACAGAATCCTTTTCCTATACAAGTATAATATTCAAATGTATATACGATATAAGATATAAATTACAAATTTATATATCATACAAGTATATTAATCTCGGTAATTGGCACTTATATTGATTATAAAGCGTGTTATTAATCTTGATAATTGATGTCTTTATTGTATGTATAATAATAATCATAAACAATAATAATAATTATTGAAGGATATTTCATGTACCATTAATAATTAAATTAAAAAATGGTTGTTTATTTGGAATATTATATACAAAGTTTTAGAATACTTAAAATATAAATTATTGGAATTTGTGTTGGAACATCATATTCAAATTTTTGTTGGAATACAATATGTTAATGCTTTCACTTCAAATCGAAGTTTACAGTTAAATTGTAAATACACTCTATTGAGAAACTTACTATTCAAAATTTAAATTACTTTAAAAATCTTAATCAAATCTCTTAAATATCAAATCCTTGTGATAATTACTTTTGAAATTTGTAAGAGAAATAATATAATTTTCTAAATACATGTTTGAAATATTTATGTAAAATTTCATTCTTCCTGCATATGAATGTATGCATGTATGTGTATTTAATATGTTAAATAAAATAAAATTGAATTGCTTAAGGATATTTACTAATTAAGTCTAAAAATTGTTTAGAAAATCTTTACAAATATTTTAATGAATTTGAAATATTTTATTTATTGTAAAGATTTTTCCTTAAATATCCTTATATTTCTTATATTCATTTTATATATTTTATGGAAAATATTTGTTTTCAATGTGTCATTTACAATTAAAAAAGAAAAACAAGAAAAAAATATATCAAAAATATTTTCTTTTTCTTTGTTATAAAAATTAAAATATAAATTGAACAAAACTTCAAAGAATATGATTAAAAGGACAATGTTTTTATTGATCCTTAAGGGTAAAAAAAAAAATTTGTAGGCTCTTGTGTTATTCTTTTTTTTTACAAAGTACATTCCATGAAATTAAGAAATAATTATTTTTCATATAAAATTTAGTATGAGGTTTGAGTCGAAATACGTTTTACCAGTAAAGGATGTTTTGGATTACATAATTTAAGAAAATATGATTTATTAACAATTTCAAACCATTTTCCGGTCAAGCAAAAAAACCTAAATTAATATTAAGCGAATTTTTGAAAATTTCACTAAATAGGTTTTGAGATGCTTAATATGTGAAAACAATTGCGTTACACGAAAAATTTTTGAATACGTTTTTCGGCAGATGAGAACAGATAGAGGGTTTTAAGCGAATTTAAGAAAAGTTTTTCGAATTTGGCTGGTTTTCATTCAAAGCCCAACAATTATTTTTTGCATATTGCTAATAATAAAGTAATTAATTTAAAAATTTAATATAAACTTACCTTAACATATGTTCGTTCTGTATCAACCAATTCTAAAATAACTTTACGTAATTTTTCAGCATCTGTTAATTGTCTTGAAGGCGTTAGCATTGCATTTGAAACCGATGATGCCACAGAACCAGTTGGGCTAGATTTTCTTGTCTCCTGTGGTGAACGACAGAAACCAGTCACCTTTTTTGTTATATTTTTTTTTTTTGCATAGTTTTTTTTTTTTTTTTTGAGGTTAGATTTATTTTTGTGTGTGTTTTATTTCGTAAATATCATTGTTGTTTTTTTTTTCGAATTTTTTTTTTGTCGATTGATTTTTACATTTACAATATTGTTTTTTTTTTTTGTTGTTTGTAAAAGGTAAAATTTATTTATAACAAGGTATATATGGAGGAATTTATGCATAACATGTTAATTTTTGTTTTGTTAATATTTTTTTTTTATTATTCATTTTATGCCACAATTAGATATAGGAAAAAAGATATAAAAATACAAAAAAAAAAGATACAAATAATAAACAATAAATTTTCTAACAATTAATAAAATATTAAATATTTTGCATTCATTTAAGAAAAAAAAAATTACGAAAAATAGTTGAATGTATATCTGTGAAAATTTCCAAAATCCCACATATAACCCTCATGTATTTGGCCAATTCTAGTTCATATAATGAAAGCAAATTTTCAAATTTTTATTGTTTGAAAACCTGGTGGGACTAACTTGAAAATTTTCTTTTCATAAAACAAAATTAGAATAGTGTTTGCAAAGTATTCAAGATTTTGTCCCAAAATTTCAAAACCATCATTCTGAAAAATTGCAATTTCAGAAATTTTTTGCAGTTTTTGAAAATTTTCACAGATTAAATTTTCATATTTATTAAAAAAATAAGTGATTATTATTAGTGAGTTAAATGTGAAATATATGAATTAAAAATTAAAAAAATATTTAAAATGTCATATGGGTATCAATGCAAGTTTTAGTAATTTAAGGTATGAGTATATGAAATATGAAAAGTATATGCTTAAAAATGAAAATTAAAAAAAAAATTTATTTCGAATTAATTATTTTAATTATTATGATTACAAAAATATTATGCATTGTAATATTAATTTAAATCACTTAACGATTTTTTTTTGGAAATTTTGTATAACAGTTAATTTATATAACAATTAATATATATAGCAGTTTTATTAATATAATTTATATAACAGTTAATTTATTTCACTATTTAAAACTAATTAATAATCATTAGATTGGTTGTTATACTGCAAAATATTTGCAAATTTTATTCTAAATTCAAATTAATTGCATATAAATCATATTTATAATTCGATTTTCTATTTAATTACAATTCAGCTGCTATTTAACATAGAGAAATATTTTGAAAATATTTTTTTTTCAAAATGAAACTTTTTCTTTTAGTTTTCGGAAATTTGTTATTTCTTCAATTACCTCCATCAATTGCTTGAAATATTTTAAAAATGTCGGATAGAGAATTTTTCGAAAGTTCATTAAATTTGCAATAATATCTTAAAACATAAATATTTTTTAAATTAGATTATTACGTACCTCTACCACGCATAATTTTATGAATTATTATAATTGAAAAAATAAATAATAAATTTAAATTCTGATTATATTTAAAAAATTAAAATCTTGGAGATATTTAGTTTGTATTTGCAAATTGCTAATTGAAGGTAATTCTTAAACTATTGTACTTGTTTAATATTTAATAATTATGAAAACTGTTTATGTATATATATAGAAAATAAATTGAACAAATTAAGTTGCTCTAAATTATTTTTAAAAATTCTATTTGCATTTTCGTAAATTATAAATTTTTATTCAAATATTTCAATACATAATTTTTGCTTCATGTAGTAAGTAAAATTACATTTGCATATTCAAATAAAAAAAATAAAATAAAAAATAAATAAAAAAAATTAAAAAAAATTTCAAAAATGATTTTATTACACAGACTTATTTATTTTTAAATTGTAAAGCAACATTGCAAAAATTTTAATATTTTATTTTAAATCTAATTATAATTTTATTTTGGAATATTTGCATAAGCAATTTGAAATTAAGTTTAAATATTTATAAAAATCTATAATAGGAAATATTATTTTAAATAAATAAATAGAATTGAAGCAATAGTATAACAAAGAATTTATTAAAAACAAAGGTTTTTATGGAAATTATTCTTGTTGATCAGAACATTTATTGAAAAGTCTAAAAAAAAAGATAAGACAATATGGATTTGACCATATTAATTCTGTGACATCCACATGAAAGGAATTTTATGAACTGCAGCACTGGCCTTAAACTCGTGCCCATTGAATAGTCTTTGACACTTAGAAGAAAAATGTAGAGATACTGCATAACAACAAATATTCAGAATAGAATAGTAATAAAATTTGTAAGGCCAAGAATATTTATTCGACGAAAATCTATGCGAAGAGAAATTTGTCTATTTTTTAACATTCTCTCACAAGCTCTTTTATAAAAGAGGATTTTTGTGTATCCTTACAATTTTAAATTAAATTTTCATATTTTAAATTTTTAGTAATGAAATTAATAGATTTGTGAACAATTATAGTAAAATATAAATTATTTAGGAAAATAAGCGAAAATAAAATTTTCTTGCCCCGGAATATATGCAATTTTTTATGAAATTTTATCAAAATTTTTAAAGTCATAATCGCTGTATTGGTTTAAAAATTTTTGACTTAAAAATAATTTTAATTAAATTTTCTTGAGTAAAATATAAGATAAGCTCATATTCTTTCATACAAATCCTATTAAATTCATATTAAACAGAATATCAGCATTAACTTTATATTTTTTTTAAAAATTTAGCAGTAATTATTTATTATATTTTTAAGGTATTAAATAAAACTATTTACTTAATACGGTAATATAATTAAAAAATATTTGGAATGTGCAGAAATATTTATATATTAGGTATTATTTAAAACATATGCATTAGCTCTACAACATAATAATTTTAAAAATTTTTCTAGCTATTCTAATATTTTATGACTGATACAAAGGATAATAAAATTTACAATTAAATAAAATAAAGAATTTTTTCACTAAAAATAAAATTTCTTTGAGGCTGGACATATTGCATTTAAATTGCATGTAAATAAAAAAAAAAACAAAAAATATACAAAATTATTGTATTAAAAAAAAATTTTCAAGTGCAAAAATAAAAATTTTCTTTTTTGCTTTATTAGTGCTAAAATTTAAAATTAAATGCAAAAATAATGTTATAATTAATGAAAAATTGAAATCAATAAAATAATTATTAAAACTTTATTTATAAAATCTTTATTTTTCATATTATATGCTATATAATAAATAAATAAATAAAAAAAAAATATTGTGCTATAATTACAATAATTATATAAATAAATCTGTGCAAAATAATTGTATTTTATTTGATATTTTTAAAACTTAAAACAAAAAAGACCTACAATTTTTCTTTAATTTAATAATAATTATTGTGTATTTGAATATAATATGTATATGTGAATGTATAAGCATAATAATAAATATTTTATTATATTTAATAGTTGTACTTAAATATATATATATGTATTTTGCTCTGGCATCAATATCAGATCTGGTACCCGTTAAAATTTGCATTCTTCCTAAAATTTTAAAATCTAGCATTTCTTCTAAATCTTAAATTTTTCGTTTCATAAAGAAGATTTATTCATTCTATTCATTCTTAATAAATATTTAATTCAATACATTCGATTGTTTTACATTTGAAGAACAAATTTAATAAAATTGTTAGATAAAACCAAAATAGATTAAGCAAAATTCAGAAAGTTTAGTATCTCTAGCTATCTCTTCTACACATTTTTTGACTAATTATATTTTAGCTCCTGCAACTGTTACAATTGGTTACGATATATTCATTCGTTAGGGTTACGATTCATTTTCAAATTCTTAAATAATACAATTTTTAAAAGAAAATAATTTCCTTTTCCAGCAAAATTTTAATATTTTTTAAATATCAGAAAAGTTTTAGTAAACAATTGTTGTATATCAAAGTTAATATTAAAATCAAATTTATATAACTATTAAAAATTAAGACTAAAATCCAAATAATTTGTAAAATAAAATGTTCCCCGTAAGGTATGCAATTTTTTTCAAATATATACATTCACATTTTATTAAGCTCTAATTTAGTGCCCAAAAATGCTAGACAAGGTGCATATAAAAGTTCTAATTTAATGAAAATATATACACCTTTAGATCGAGAAATTGTTCTACTTTTCTTTTACTTACGTAATTTTCTCTTTTCATATTTAATTATTACAAAAATAAATAAGAAATTTATTGAATTTATTTTATATTAATTATGATATAATATGGCTATATCGTAAATAGAATTTATGTTATGATACAAAAAATAATTTATTTTTAATAATCTGCCGTTCGAAAAATATAATTTTACAATTATTTTAAAAATTTCATTACATAATTTTTATTTGAAATTAAGTATAAAAGAGAAAAGCGAGGGTACGAATTAAATTTTTATAAGCAATAGCTACGTAGCTAGTAACGAAGTGAGAAAAAAAATGAAAAATTAAAAAAAGAAAAGAAGCTTTAGTGAAAATTTTTTAATTAAAACTTATAATAGAAATGAAAACAAAAATAAAATTATATATATAAAAAAAAAAGTGAGGAAACTAAAAATTATAAAAAGTGAAAAGTCAAAGTAATTACTGTATTTTTAAAAGTAAATAAAATGTCCGATAGAGTAAAAACTAAAACTTTTATACTTTTACTTAAAATACAAATTTTTTTCCCTTTTTTTTCTTTTTTAGTTTTTCTATCTTACTTATGTTTAACTTTTTAATAAACATTTCAAAATGAATATTACAATTATATGTATGTATGTATGTATGTAGGATTTTAATCTGTGTTATAATATGTATATTAAAATAGGTCCTTAAAAGGGGATGTTTTGAAAATTTAATATTTTATATGATCTATACACTCTGTAACAAAAATTAAGTGTATCTCACCTTTGGATTGCTTCGACTTTAGATTGAAATTGAAATTTAAATAACAATTACCTACATATATCATTTATTTTTCAATTTACGAAGTTTTAAGAAAAAATCTAACCTTCTAAGTCATATGAATAGAAGATGCATATGTTTTGAGAAAATTAATTTCAAAACAAACTTAATTAATTTGGATAAACCATAATTTTGTAGCTTTTTACATTTTTGTGCTATTTTGAATAAATTTGTACGGATAAAATAATATGGAGTTCGAATTTAAGTTAAATTTTTAAAAATTAGGAAATTCCGCTGAGCCATAATTAAATTTTAAATAATATTTTCTGAACTAAATAACGTAGACTATATTAATTTTGATCTTTTAACTGCGAATGTATGAAATAAAATTGAAGACTCCTATGTATGAAATAAAATTGAAGAAAAACCAAAGAACTGAAATTCGAATTATCTATTTTTTGATTGGGATCACAGACTTATTAAATAAAATTCTTTAAAATATTAATAAATATTGTAGAAAAAATTAGATAAAATTAAAATTTCTTCTGAGATGATTAAAAAAAGAAATCCTAGGGCTCTCCTTATTATTCAATTGTTTTTCACATTATTATGAGAAAAATTATTTTATATTTATGATTAAGTATGATTTAACCCAACAATATGGTCAGAAACTGCTACAGAATATTGGAAATTTATTATAACGAAAATTTTTAATTTAAAATTAAAATTTATTCTTTACTCAGGCAAACTCCTTTCAATTTTTAATTAAAATCACCAACTAAGCGTTATTAATGTAGGTAAAATTATGAAACTATTGAAATTTTTGAAAAATTATGCCATAAAAATTCCATTATGTTTTAAAGAATTTAAAAAATATATAAAAATTTCATATATGTTAAAAAAGACAAAAACTTTACGCATTCGCAAATTATTTCGAAAATCTTTTGTTTTCTTTTGAAATTTCTTTCAAAGAAAGGAAATTTTTAAAAAAGGACATTCATAAAAAGGAAAAATTTTAGAAAAATTACGTTGAAATAAAAGAAAACAAATTAAAAATTGTAAAATGGTGAATTTGTTTTTTGTAATTTAGAAAACATTTAAATCACAAAGAATTGATGTATATAACAAAAACAAAATAGAATAATTGTTATACAATTTAATTATAATAAAATTAATAGTAGTTTCATAATTTTTATGAAAAAAAAAAATGGAAAATATTTACGCACATTAATAGTTATAGTGTTATGTAATTAAAAAGGAGTACAAAATAAATAAAATGACGTATATAGAGTATTCTGTTATAAATAATATAATCCTTAGATTTTTGTTATAAAAAATGTACCTGTATATATAATAAAAGAAATAAAGGTGAGCTGTCATAATTTTATTGTAGTTGACATACTTCTCATAACACGTGTACAAACGTATATATAAATGGTACTTAATTTGTGGTATTTCCCGTACAATTAATTATACTTATTATATACAAAGGTTATATTTTGTATAATTAAAATTATTTACATACAAATTATTATATAACAAATTATCTATATAAATGTATGTATAAAAGGATTTATATATTAATATGAAAATAATAAAGCGAAAAAAAATATAATTACAAAATATACTTTTCTTTTCTTGCCTTAGATTGTATAACTCGTGTATATCTTACATTATATTATATTTCTATGGACGCATGTGTGGACATATATCTATATACAAATATTATGTATTATATAAAGCATATGTATTATGTATATTTTCGCACTTTTATTTTTTTTTTTTTTAATTTTATCACTAATGAATTGCACTATTATTAAATAAACTAAATGTATAAGAAAATACTAAAAAAAAGTGAGAAAATAAAATTAAATGAAATAAAAAATAATTTTTTTTTCTTTTCATTTTCTTCTATTTTTTTTTTTTCATAATTCATTTTTTTTCATTTTTTCGTTCTTAATTAAGATGCCAGAGAAATGTTTTTTTTTTTTATATTTTTTGTTTTATATACAATTTATATATACATATAAGTATATAATTGTTATACATATACAGAGTGTGTGAGAGTCGATGATATACTTTCGGATGTAAAGCAATAGAATATACCCAGATGAGCAAAAATTTTCATTATTTTCTAAATAGTATTTCCAAATTAATTATACCCAACAATACAAATTAGAAATTTTCCTTTAACACCTCAATTTTAAGGTCTAATAAATCAAGAGAAAAAGGGCATTTTTTATATTATTTTTTCGTTAGTCTGGACTTATTTTATTACCCATCTTCGGCATTACTATCAAATTTCAGACACCCTGTTTATATAAATATACTTTCATATATACTAAATCATTATATAGAATAATGTTATACTATATATATTATGGCTATTTTTATGTATGTATTAATGTAAATACGAGTATAATATAAAAATAATGTAAATATGTATAATTATGGTATGTTGAATAAAATCTTATATGGGGTAAATAATATATGTATAATATATAATATATGTAAATAATATATATATAATTTTTTTTGTATATATACATTTTAATGTATATAACATTTATTATAAAAATATTTTAATGTTACCTGTTCAGCTGTTTTAAGAAGATTCTCAATTTCAAAGCTGTTAGTCCTTGAAGTTTGTTTAGTACCCTGAGTGCTAGTCACCTGTGGTTCAACTGATGATGGAGCTGGAGAACTTTCTGCTTCAGGTGAATACATATCTTTACCTTGAAGGAAATAAATACAAACATATATTATATTTTTTTTTTTTTATATTATATGGTATGTATACAAATAAAATATAATATAACATTATATAACAAATGTAAGAAAGATAAAAATAAAAAATAAAAATTAAAAATAAGAAAAAGAATTAATATTATTATGTTAAAGGTGTAAAGTATATACACATACAAAAATAATATACTCGTACGATATATGGATGAGAAGAAGAATATAAAGGGTAAGAATTTGTTGCGTTACGTTTGTAACAATTATACAAACAAAAAAACAACAGTATCATACAAAAAAAGAAATTATGATTATAAAAATAATATTTGAGTAAATTAGAGAGTGATGGTATGATGCTAAGGAAATATCGGAGAGTGGAACTGGTATAGTATTATGATTGTAATATAGAAGGGAGAATAAATATTTTGAAGAGTGGTAAAAGAGGAGAGAGGCAGGTTGAATAAAAATATATAAAATTTCTCTCTTTTTTTTTCCTTTTTTTTTTCATTTTCTTTTTGATTATTATTTTATTTTTATTTTAATTTTCTTTTTCTTCATTTCGAAATTAAGTAAAAATGTGTGATGATGATGATGAAAATTTTCACAGTTATTTTTTTTTTCTCATTTTTTTTTTCTTATTTTTTTTTTATTCGTTCTCTTTATATAATAAGAATAATAATAAAAAATAATAATAATAAAAAATTAAAAATAATAATGTTAAGTGTTATATTTATGTTGTGTGTTGACGTGCGTGTATATAAGTATACCATTTATTTACGTATGTATATAAGTATATAAACATTTTAATGTCATTAAATATAGTTTCATACATTTTTTTTATTTCAAATGAATTTGTATTTATAAATAAAAATTCTTTAACTTAATGCCTTTAATTTTTTTCCACTTTATATGTGATATGCATGTAATATATAAGTTGTATAACACATTTTTTTTTATTATATAAAAATAAGAAATAAGAAAGATTGACTTATTTAGGTTTAGGTTATGCATTTTTTTTCATTTGCGTTTTTGTTTTTTTTTTTATTTTGTTTGTACTGTTTGTGTGCAGTGTTATAAAAAGAAAGAAGATGCTTTTGAGAAAAGTGTGAATTTTTATTTTTATTTCATGTCTTTACGTAACTGTTATAATATAGTATATGTGGTGTATTATTTTTTTTTTTTATTATAATGAGAAAATATGAATTTTAATTTTTTATTTATAAAATGCATTGTATTTTTATGCATTTAAAAATTCTGTGATTATTACCATTAAAAATTGACTAAGTCCGAATTTTATATATTTAGATTTCATTTTAGATTCGAATTTTTTTTATAGTTTTTTCTAAAGAATGATCTGAAATTTGGTTTGTGGACCACAATTTGTCTTGAAGTTACTATAAGAACGGAAAAAAATAAAAATTTAGATTTTTTTTTAAATAAAAATCAAATTGAATTCCTCGTAGTTTTATCTTAATTCATAAGGATGATTCGGTATTTAGTGTTTTAATATAAACCACCAATGAGCCAAGCAATTTTACGCATCACCAAATTGTTCCAAGCAATTTTACCCATTTTAATGCATTAAAAATGGGTAACATTGCTTGGAACTAGTTCTATAATCCTAATCGATTTTCGAAATATTGGGATTTTTTACAAAAAGTTTTACTTGTCCACGAATAATGTTGTGTTTATAACTCCCGTTATCAAAAATATAAAAGTTTCAAAGAAATAATTTTTGGACGGTCTAATAAAAGGATTTTTGTATATTATCTACTCTAGGATTAGCCATTATTCAAGTATTAAAAAAATTCTAAATTACCCGTTTTTATTACGTTTTTAGTTTTCTTTAATACCACAATTGCGTATGAAATTTCTGGAAATTATAAAAAATTTTTTAAAAGAATTTTTTCCCGTTATTTAGGCTTTAATTTAAGCGATTAAATGTTAAAAAAATTTTTTAATAAAATATACAAAATAAAATGTTCAAAAATATTTTTAAACTTAAAATTTAATTTTCTCAAAATACAATAATTCGACTTAACAAGTTTTAACATCAAGATCACAGAATTATAATAATTATTATTATATGAGGGAAAAGAAAATTCAACTTTTATTTTTAAGTATATGTATAGGTGTTGCTATAAATGATAATATAAAATAATTATGATTAAATTTTAACTAGAATGCGGTTTACGTCCAGGTGAAAGAACAAAGCATAAGCAAAAAAAAAAAAAAAACAATCTAAGAGATGATGGTCATTTCAGATGGTGCGCGTGTGTATGTGTGATACAATAATACTGCAGTTTAAAATTAATTTTAATTAAAATTTATATTTTTTCTATATTAATAAAATGCTATTTTTATTTTTTTTGATATTATTATATTTAAATTTTTTTTTTTTTAAATTTTTACATAATTGTGACTAGGTGAATTAATATACATGCTTTACGTATAATATCCTATAAATATTTTCATTAAATGTAAAAGGATTTTATTTTATTTTTAACATAAAGGTGGTCTAAAATCTTTTCTAGTTTCGAATAATTTATGTTAATAAGTGGTACTTTGGTGTGTGCGTATATCTAATGAGTTTGAGATCTTTTATATTGTATTAAAAATTAATTGAAATAAAAAAGATGTAGATATTTATGGAATCATATCAATGTTTAAAGATTTTTTAAATTATGTATCCTAATAATAGTATTAGTGCCAAACAGAATCAAAGTGTTTCAGAATATTGTAATTATTTGGAATTGTGTTAAAATATGTGACATGTTTTTTAATTGAGTAGTTTAATATTCCGCATACATTGCGATTCGAATTTGGTTTTTCTAAAGGAAACCTCTCATTTACCTCTATATTTCCGAAATTTTCCATTTAGCTTAATAATATTTCATTACTTGGTTGATTAGACCGATGAGGATGCCTAGATTGTTCGATATTTCAAGAAGCATTATTTCTTTTGGTACTGGGTTATTGCAACAAAATTTCTATTGTCATAGAAATATGAAAACAATAGATACATTGAATTGCATGCCAGTCGTTGATTTGTTTAATTTAGTGAGCCAGTGCATTTCAGAGATTTATCTACGTCCCTGATATTTAATTAAATCTCATATAATTTACAAAATATTATAACATACTCTTTCTAGGCGAATTAGTAGAAATAAAAAACTCGATCCCCTACAAGCCGCAATATAACTAATTATCTTTGTTCAGTTAGGCTGATAATGTTTCGTCAAATGCACAGCCTACTTAGATTGTTACAGCATTTTTGAAACTTGAAGATTAACTAAATTAAAGCCTTAAGATTACAGCAGTTTGGAATATATTTTGGGTGAATTCAAATTCAAAATGTATATATTTCTGTTCTGTTATCCTTTACTGTGTTCTATAAATCTCACCTCAAACAATTGGTTTTGGTTAAAGTTTTTTATGTATATTATTCTTTAGTAACGATTCTGCGATTTTTTCCTATATTGCTTTCATAATATTGTAGGAAATCCATATTTTTCCTATTAAAACACAATAATTTTCGCCATGATATAAGTATATAGTGTTGTATTTGTATGTAATATGTAGGCACGTGGGTAGATTGGAAAATTTCTTAGCATATTTGGGTCTTTTAGAGTTCTTTGAATTCATTAAAAAAAATTTATCTTTCTTTGAGTTTATTGAAAAAAATGTAGTGTTGGGGCCATATGATGTATAAAACTTTTAATATATGTAGTAATCAGTGTAAAACGGTGAAGGACAATAGATCAAAAATTTTTTTTTATTGTTATGCTAACTAAGTTAGTAATAAAGATATAAAATAATAAACGATAAAACAATCTATTGATAATATCATTTGACTTATGATTACGATATTATATGAAATCTTTAACGGTATACATTATTATGAAAGAAGTCAAAAACTCGATTTATTTGTATATAGGGGAGAAGGGAATGAAGCAACAATAATGTACTTCAATAATGTACTGGGTGATATTATATTTTACATACTTACCAAATGCCCATTTAAGGAAAGAATTAGAATTATTAGAAAAGCGTATATAACAAAGCGTATTGAAGTCGGGTGAGTCTAAATTACAAAATAAAAAAAAAATTTAGAAAAATTTAAAAAAATTGAAAAATTAAAAAAAGTTTTTTTTTTCTTTTATTGTTGTGGGTTTATTGGCAAGGAAATTTGATTTGTTTTTCTTTTTTTTCATTTTGTTTTATTTTCTTACTAACCCTCGCACATAATTATAATAAACAAAGTTTTCACCCTAAAAAGTAAAAATGCCCTAAAATTCTCAAAAAACAAAAAAAAATTAAGGGGTTATAGCAGAATCAGAACTTCGGTGGGAAAGAGTGAATTAAAAAAATTCGAATTTTTCTTTCATTGCATAATATATTCATCTGGAAAGAGTTGTGCTTCATTGTGCATAACCTAATCAAGTATTGAAAATTTTCCGGCACTTGGCACCAAATATATAAAAGTTTTGAGCAAGCTACCCTCACTATATAGAAAGTGGCATTCAGTTTCTTAAGCTTTAGATTTATATTAGAACAATAAAGAGAAAGCATTAGGTAGTGAGAAGTTCACTTTCTTTTGATCGTCGATTGACCTTTATAGTAGAAATCTATGAAATTTTTATCACGTTCAACTAGGAAGATTATCCTAAATAAAATTTTCCTATATAAAACTTTTCATTCCTCTTACTGGACTTAAATTTAAATAAAATCCGTAGTTCTGTTGGTATAACGCACATCTAAAAAGCGAGAGATCTCCAATTCTAATTCAGTTACAGTTAAATATTATCGGGCTTGTTATCTGACTGTGACCAGTCAGATAAAAAGTATAAGCAATTTTGATATATTAACTAGAAAATGTTATACAAATCACTACTATAATTCCAGTATTACAATTTGCGCATATGATCAAAGGACGACGATTAATGAATAAGAAATTTTAACACAAAAAAAAAAAGAAAGAAATCTAGAAATAAAAATGAAAATAAATGCTGAAGGAACCCAATTATTTTAAAATACATTTATTATGCAATATGTATTATTTTGAAAGATTAAATAAAAAATGGGAAAAAAATAAGAAAAACATAAAAAAAAAACCAACAACAAAAAGATTGCAATGCAAATTATTTTCCACTTAAAACAGAAAATTCTTTATAATTTTTGTTTTCTTCTATTTATCTTATTTTTATTCTAATTTTTCTATTTTCTCTTTTTCTTTTTCTCATTTTATTATTAAATCGTAAAATTTCCATAATAATTGGTTAGAAATGAAAGTTGAATGCAAAAAAATTTCATTCTATAATTAATTACATTCACATAATTTGATACCGCACATTAGAATAAGAAAAATATACTTACATACATGAAAACATAATATGTATACATTGCAGATTTGAATTATAAGGAATAAATAAGGAACACTGATAGGAATAGAATAGGAGAGAGAGAGAGAAAGGCTGAAGTAATATAACGTATGATATGAGAATAAGTAAAAGTATGTAGTAGGAGAAAAACGTATATATATAAAAAAAAAGAAGATGAATATGTCATGTCAGTTTCTGGATGGATGAAAATAGCATCAAGTTTACGTCAAGGAGTTGTAAATTACATTGTATATAATTAATTATCTTGAAATTTATGTTATGCCTAAAATTGTGTTTGGGTTTATTATGTTTTTTTTTTTCATACTGACTGAAGTATAATAGTGATGGAAGTATAATCTTTTATAATCATTTTATGTATAAATACACTATAATGTTATATTACATTCGAAAATGATATACATTTTTGTATATTTCCAAGAAATGGTATGTAATAAAATCTGCATATCTATATATACATATTGTGTTAGAATGAATAACGAATTTCTAATTTACATTTTGTTTTCTCGAAATGCAGGTATTTTCTGCCCAAGGGATCGGCATACAAGATTTATATTTTCTGATTCAAAAAAATATGTCGACTAACAATTTTTAAACTTATAGACAAATACATAGGACCATTGACGACTAATTAGCTATTATTTGATTATTTCTTGTTAGGTGATTTCAATATTACGAGGATTGTGAATGAATTCTTATTTTTATAATAATTCTAATTTTTACAGGGTAAACCGCTAATACTTAACAACCTTAGAGGACTATATTGATATTATATTATTTTTGATATATGGCCTTTTGCCAATAAGACATCCCTTAATTTAATCACATGTTTCTCCTTAAAAATTGCATACTTGATCCTGCCGGAATAATGATTCAATTTATAGGACTGCTATAAATTCAGGGTTTGTTTTTTAAAAAATAAAATTATTATTCACATATAACCGGGAAAATACCATAAAAAATTCATATATGTATTATTTTGTTTGTTCGTACATTTATGATATTATCTATGCTTTTACAGAGAAACTGGTTTAATTAATAAAATATATAGAAAAAAAAAAACAAAAACAAAAAATATATGCGTATAAAATAGGAATTATAAACTTAAAATACAAGTTATGTAAAGAATTTTTTGTAATGAAAAGTTGCTTTTTAATTAGGAATAAGAAAAAAAAAATAAAAGAATTCAAAGAAAAGGGAAAGAAATGATGTTGTGTAATAATAAGGATTCTTGCTATATGATTATAAAATTTGATTTTACTTTTGCGATACACAGGATCATATTCAGTTTCATGGCACACAATCATAAATATCATTTTATTTTCATTATTCTACTCTATTCAGAAAGTACATTTCCAAAAACTAAATGTTAAATTTTATGGTATTTATCGAGTAAAATGTCGTCAATAGAATTGTACCACAAAATACCTTTTGGCAATCATATTAAAATTTGTACGTATAGCAGGACGGAAATTTGTCATACACTATAGGTTATTATAACCTATCCGTTGCCGTAATACCGGTATGTATTCCACTTTAATAAATTTAAATAGTCAGATTAGGATTTATTAAGTTTGTCGAAGAGTTTAGGCTAAAATATCATTATATATTTTCTGTGTTAAAACGCTTTTGTTGTAACTCTATTCCCTTTTGAGTTTTATTTTCTCTTGCTTAAATTAAAATAGATAATAAATTGAAGTGTCCTAATAAAAATGATTGCAATACTAAGTCTCAAATTAATGTTGGTTATATTTTATAACTTTCACACATAAAGTCATATTTTCGATGGGAATTTCGAATCAATTTTTACGTTTTATTTTTCTTTTTTGGAATAACCAAAATCCCATTTATTTTTATCAAAAATTATTTTTATTTCAACTTTAACTTTTGCATTTCTGTTGCATTTTTATAATTTTTTCTCTCAAAAATTATAAAATTTTCAAATAATTTCAGTTCATTTTTTTTTTCGATTATTTATGCACCTATGTGCATTCTATTTTCAGAATTTAACATTTTTAGTTATCATATAAGAGGAAAAAAATAATAAAAATTTATTGGAAAAAATTTTTTTATCAATAAAATGAAAATGAATAAAAACCATTTTTTTTGCATACTTTTAGGGGAATCAATTGGGGAAGAATGTTTATTAGACATTCATTATTGCTTTATATTGGATGTTTTAGTCTAAAAATAAGTATAAAATTTATTTTTATTTTTTTTTTAAATTATGTTATATTTGAATTTTATTCAATATCCTTTTATGCAACTTGATAATTTTTAATACCACTTTTATATTTCGAATTTTTTTATATTTTAAATTATTTGGTTATAATTTTTTCTTCTCAATATCGCTATATGTGATGAGAAACTTTTACTGACGATACAAAAATAAATTTTTTTTTGTAATATTATAAAAAATTTTTATATATTCTGTAAGGATATATTTAAGGATATGATGCTGTTATTTCAAAAATATTTAAAAATAAAAATATTTTTGAAATTTATTCGAAATATTAAAGTTTTTATTTAGTTTATGGCTAAAGACTAGATATTAAATAAATTTTATTTGAATTTTATAATTTAATTTTATTTTATTTAAAAGTTATATTTTATGATTATATTTTGTATTTGCTTGTATGTATGAGTTATTGAATATGTCTGAATAAAATAACAACGAAATTGATATTAAATATAGATAGTTCAAATTTAATTTGAATTTTTTCGATTTCAATTGAATACAAATCATAATGCAGAAAGTAAATGAAATGTTAAAATTCTCCCGAGCTAAAGAGAATGTAGTAGGAGGAAATTTATTAATAAAAATAATTATTTTAGTAGGAATTCTAGTATGTTATCTGAACATTAGTGCCTTTTAATTATTCAGTTTAAAAATGAGATAGAAAATATGAGCCAGTTTTGAGAGCGGATTTTAATTAGTTGCGAATTTTGAGAATTTTAATATTTTTTATAGCATACTTTTAGGGGATTCAAAAATCACAACTACCTTAATGATCACAAAAAGTCTGTTTAACATCAAATGGGTTTTATTTTTTTAACGCAAATTAAAATTATGCTGGACGTATTAAAAGTTTTTGGGTCAGAATATGGTTAATTGAAAATTTTACCACTAACAATATTTTTTCCGAAGGAAACCGTACATAAAATTTTAATTTTACATAAAATTCTATATTAAGATGTCAGTAATGCAAGCAATCGTAATTATAAATCATTTTGAATTTCTAATCTTGAACTGAAGAGCAATATACCATGTTGGGTTTAAATATTAAAATTCGGCCAGTAACAGTAAATCAGAACGTTGAAAATTTAATATTATTAATGTATCAGAAAAATTCGAAATTTAATTATAAAACTTTTCCAAATTAAACAACTTTTTATTTGAATTTTTTAAGTTGATAGTTAAAATTTTTAACTAAACAAGTTATCCAATTAAGCCTATTTTCTGTATTATGGCTATGTTAGTTAAAACTAAACTATGGAACAAATGTAATACTTTGTCTTCTCGTTTTTCTATTTTACAAATAATTCTGTTCAAGGGTATACAAATTTCATGTTATATAATAAATAAATTAAAAATATTTTGTATATTTTTTTTTTATTTCAAATCTAGAGCTATTGATAAAAATATTTTATGTTTTTGAAAAAATACATAAAAATAATTTTTTTTTCTTTTATTATTTTGAAAGAGCTTACAGGGATAAAATAAAGTAGAAAAATTTTTTTTATTGATATAAACTGAAAAGTCTCTACACATTTTTTTATTTTTATAGATAGAGAAAGTCTTGTTGTTGTTTTTTTTTCTTTGTAATTAAATTGAAGAGTGTACTTCAAAAATTATTCACAAAAAATATGTAAATGTTGTTACTGTAACTACATTGCAACAAAAAAAAATACTTTTTTTTTTTTTTTTTTTTTGTAATTTTTAGTTTTATTAAATTGAATTTATCAAGAATCAATAGTACTAGTATATGAAATTAAATTCGTATACTAGGTGATTTATTAAGTAATGCTTTGCCATTTTGAATAATTTTAAAATTTTTTATTAGAACTAGAAACCCAAATTATTGTAATAAGTATACCGAGAATTAGAAATTTTAAAAATTTTCACAAAATTATCATTTACTCAAATTTGTTTTCCTTATAATTTTTTACTTCCTCTGGTATACTGTGAAACAGAAGGAATTATCGAACCTTTTAGGAGATTTTATACTTTGTTCTCAATAAAATTTTTTATTCTTTTCAAATGCTTCAAATGGAATTGTATATGAAAAGCTAATTATTATAGTGAATCACCTTGTAAACATATGAATTATAATTGAAATTAATAATTTTTTTCTTACTTAAATCATAAATTGTATGGAAATTGCATTCAAGGCTATTCATTTTATCTGTTGATTTTTTTTGTTTGTAGATTTCTGAAAGTCTATATTCAATATTTATAAAAAAAAAAAATTTCTCTTGGATTTTAATGATTTTATATGAATTTTTTAAATTATTTTTATGGTAAATTTTAATTTTAAATTTACAATTATTTCAATTTTAAAAAAATATGTTGTACATTATATTTTAATTTTTATTAGATTTTATGTGATTTAATAGAAGTTTAGATTTTAAATTTACGAATTTTTATTTTTAAATCAAGCAAACAATTATTTAATGTAAATTTTCGGTTTGAAGAATTATTTATTTATTTAATTTTTTGGGAGCAAGTCAAGAGAATTGCCATGCTTCCAGGTATTCTAGTCATCTGATGTAAGATGTGCAATTAAAAACAATGAAGTAACAGTACAATGGAGCCCACTACATTTGATTGTCTGGCTGAAATCTGTTATATTTTTAAATGAATTTTAAATGAAATGTTCATATTCCTTTAAAATTATTAAATATAAGCCTATTTAAAAGTTTTACTGAATTATTATAAGAATACAAGCTAGACCTTATTGAAGAGTCATGTATTAAAATTATATTAGAAATATATATATAATATATTATATTGCAAATTAAATCTTCATTTTAGATTTAAATTTGATCTCGACTTTAGATAAAAATTTTAATTTTTCTGTTATATATTCCTATACATAAATTATGATTAAATGTAATGGTTTGCATTTATATACGAAAAATTCCACATATATCGGCAATTGAATCGTTTCTCAGGATAAATTTTATTAATTATCATTTGCTATTTCATCTTTAGTGTAAAAATACTTTTAACTCTTAATATTTTAGTAGTAAAATAATTTTTATATAATACTTTTTATTGAAGAAGCTTGAAAATTTAAATATTATTAAAGTGAGAATTAATTTGTTGATTAAATTTCGAATACTTAACAAAAGTAGCTCATTTATTTATGTAGAATCGTACAAGAAATTTAAAGTAATTTAGAGCATAAACAAATAAAACAATTATCATTTAACTATCATCATCATCACTAATACCATTATCATCAACATCATCATCATCATCACTAATACCATTATCATCAACATCATCATCATCATCACAATATTTTATTTATTAAATAGTTTCATTTATTTCTAATTTTGTTCGAACAATTTTTTTTTTTTAAATAATTAATTATTATTCATTAAAATTTAATTAAAAATGTTTAAAAACACACAATAAGTAAAAAAAAAAATTAATTTTTTAGATATTTATAATTTTTTTTTTTTTAATTCAAGTGAATAAAATTTTCTCTTTAATCATAATTCAATTATGGGGAAAAAAAAATCTCCATATCAAATTTTATAATTTTATTAACCTTGTGATAAAAAAAAAAATATGTTCATCGTAAAATGTTGTTTATTGCACATAATATTCATGAATTTCGTTTTTAAGACTAACTAAAGGATATACTAACTGTTATTTAATCAATATATACATATTATATATGTATACACAAACACATAATATTGTACCTACTTCAGAAACATTATTATATACATAAAATCATAAATAATATTTCAAAATGAAAAATTTCAGAAACAAAAAAAAATTAAATAAAAATAAAAGTAAAAAAATATCAAAGGATCACTTGCATACACGCATTTTCAAACGATAAAAAAAATTAATAATTTTTTTTAAAGGATTTTTTCCTCTCTTTTTTTTTCATATATTAAATATGTTTACCTGTGAAAAATATTAAACGAAAATAAGAAAAACAGCAAAAAAAAAGGAGCAAAAAAACATTTTTTTTTTTATTAGGGATAATTATATATAAACTTACTCCAACCAGGTGCTGGTACAATTAAACCTGATATCATTTCTTCACTCATTATTGGTGGATCTGATGGTGGTGGTGGACATACAAGTGAATCAATCATATCATCTGTAACACGCATAATACCAACCAATTCTGGTGGTTCTGTACGTGATGACCTGTAAAAAAATAAAATTTAATTATTTATTTATGTTGCGTTAAAATTGAAAATTTTATTATAATTTTGTATAAAAATATTTACAGAATCAGAAAAAAATTTAAGTTGGAATTTTTATATATAAGAAAAATTAAATATGCAGAGTTTCAATTGTAGTGTTGACGCGGATCAAGAATATAATAATTCAGATTGCAGAATATTGCTTAAAATGTGTGTACATGGCTGAAAAAGCTGCAAATATTTTAAGAAATGAGATAATTTTCCGGTCATATCGCGGCTGATTAAAGTCAATACATCATAAAATAAAATATTATCTTAAATATTAAAATCAAATATTCACGATTTTAAAATAAATTAAAATTCTAGACCAGCCATTGCGACGGCATTCAGCCTTTCTTAAAGCATTCAACTTCAAAATTCTTGCAAGAAAAAATATATTCCATTACAAGTATTTTTGAAAAAATTTTTGGGATCTCAATCATAAATAATAGACATACATAGGTACATACAATTTCATACTAATTTATTATTTGTCAGACTTTTCAATAAAGCCAGTTGAAAATGTCATTTTCTCTTGTGAATAGATGATGTAAGAAATTCGAATGGCCCATACTCATACGAGGTAGTACATATTTGCTGAAAATCCATAAAAGTTAGCCGACGGTTGCCTAGTCCTTTCAATTTTAATATTTTTCTTAAATTTTTGGATATTTATTGTGATATAGCAAAATTTCAGCAGTAGAAGTAGTCTATCAATTATTATACCAATTTACGATACAGTTTTTGCAGTGTACCACATCATTATCATCATAGTATTCGAATAATAAGCTTCTGCACTATAGTTTCATTCAATAGTTATTGTCTCCAAAAATAGTTGCACATTATTAAAATTATTTTCAAACTACGCCAAAGATTTAGGGACATTAAGAAATTCAAAAGTAATTATTCAATTCAATGATACAATGACAATGAAAGAGAAAACTATAATGGGTAAGTAATACATAATATTATTCATATTTCGGTATTCATACAAAACATTAATCGGGTTTATATCAAAATCAATTTTCCGACTACTCAGTTAAATTAAACATAAAATTCATATCGTATATATTGTAATAAAATAAATGATGAAAATTTAATGCAATAATGCTTATATAATCAAACCATGAACAAAATACACGAAATATCATAAATTATGCAAAATTGAAATTGAACGAAAAGGAAATAATTTAGAATTTTTAAAATTTTTATATTATAGGATTTTTGACTACACTGTTAACAGAACAGAAAACAACCAAACAATCCCCAGAAAAAAATTCCAGAATAATATTAAAACTTGATATGAATAAAACCTATAAGGGAAAATTACATTTGAATTACAACAAGTTACGAAACAGGAATACTTTATGCAATAGCCTGAAACAAGAAGAAATCAAGCGGTAATAAAAAAAAAAAAAATTATTTTTTCTCGCCTGTTGTCCTTTTTCTTCTTTATTTTTGTGTTTTTTTTTTTGCTTTTTTGCGCCTGTTGTATTTGTAATTTTATTACTTGGTTGTGTTTTCTTTCTGGTTTTTTTCTGTTGTTGCTAAAATGCTAAAGGGACGTTTTAAATTTTACCAAACATATGTATGCATGGTCATGTACATTATGTACATATAAAATAAAATTATAGTATGTACAAGAAAATAATTTTATTATACGAAATTTCAGAACTCACGTAATGCATTTACCATTATCATCATCAAAAAAAAAAAAATTTATCATCAATATTATAAATGAACATCAATATTATCATCAGCGATTTTAACATCAACATGCTTGTAAGAAATTGTATTCTATGTATAAAATGTACCACATATTATAAGTACATATTATATAGAGAAATTTTATTTACGTTTCCTACAAATATATTAAAACAGAGAATATTTTATATACAAGGTGTTTAAACTATGTATTAAATTAGGCTACCAGCGCAGAATGAAATAAAGCAAAATTACCTATAATTGAAATCTAGAACACAATCAAAATTTTCCACTCTTAGACTTGCAGTATTTTAATCTATATAATTCAGCAGATTTCAGACGATCACAAGGGGTTGTGTAGTTTTTTCTCCTTGTTCAATCCTTAGTGGGATTGAATGATATCATAGAGAGCAATATCTTAGTTTCGTGAGTTATTAGGTTTAATTTAGGTAACTGAATAGAATTTAGATATTTTTTTCGTGTTTCTAGATATTGTCTTATGGATGTATTCAGATATTCCATCACTAATTAATGAGCATTTTCTATTTATAGAGAAAGCTTTAATAGGTATAAGTAAATTGAAAATTTTAAATTAATTTCCAGTATAATTAATATTAAAATATACAAATTTTGGCATAATATAACAGTGTATTTGAACAAATTTCCAAAGGTTAAAATTTGAAGATTCATATAATATTATTATGAAATTTAAGTGTTATATTTATTAATTGAATTTAAATTTATTTATTAATTAAAAATCAATAAAATTCTACTCTAAGAATGAAATGAATAAAATTTTCATAATTTTCAACAAACTCTTAAAATAAGTATTTTTCCAATACAATTTCTTAACACTCATTAACCCTACCATGCACATACCTTTTTTTTTTGTAAATTTTAAATTTTCTCTGTATGTGTGTACGTATGTGTTTGCAAATATTTGTATGTCAAAAGCACTATATATATATATATTATTTCTGTAAAATCAATAAGTGAACAAAATGTTTATAAAATTTTACTCTATTTGTATATTTGTATAGGAATATAAAATGTTATGTAAATAATATGCGAATACGTTTATAAAACATATATATATATGTACATTATATACATAATATATTATAATGCATATAATTTATCTACATGTGTATTTATGTATACGTAAATCTTTATTTGGTATAAATTGATTATTTATAACGCATGAATAACTCTACACGACATAAAATTGACATTCCTGAAACGATTAAATTTTAAATGTCAATTTTATGGTTGTTACTATTATTGTTGGTGTTGTTGTTGTTGATTTTTTTTCGGTGCTGATACATAGTACCTACTTCCTTTTTTTATTATTGTTCTTGTATGTTGTTTTTTTATTTTTATTTTTGCTTTCTCTTGAATTGTCATCATATTAAGCTCAAATGCATTATTTAAATCTTGGTATGTTTGTATGTATATTACATAACATACATTATTTGTATGTACATGTATATTTATAAATTAAACATATGTTATGCATAATATAAAAATGTCTGTCATCTAATTGGTGTTTACAATTACATAAAAAAAAAAATTTCAGATCAACCAAATGTTTTTCAACTGTTGAACTATAATAAACATGACATTTATTGTAAAACATTTGAAGGTATTAGAAAACGTGGTGGAAATTATTAGTGTAGCTGAGTGAAAAATATTTTCTCTTTAAAAATTTATATGGTAAAAATAAGGAAATTTTCGTGACATTATGATTACTTTGAAGACATTTTTAATTTTTTAATTGACTGTACAAAATTTTAATAGTGGTGGATTATATTACACTCAAAACTGAAAAATTTAAGATAAAGCCTTTTAAAATTATAGAATAAAATTTTTTAATTGTAAATAATATTTGAAATAATATCGATATTTATGATTGAATAATTATTCAAGTGACAGATGAGTCAAAAAATTTGAGTCATCTCATTGGCTATTTGATTTTAAATTGTGAATTTTTTATTTATATAATTTATGATATTAGAATCTTATATGGTTATGATTTATTAAGAAAGTTGTATGATAAAACCAGAATTTATTAAATGTATCCATAATAAAATCATGTTCATAGATTCTGTAACAGAATTTTGTGACTTTGAGCACTATTTTGTAAGCCCTATGCTCAAAGTCATAATATAGTGTTCAAAAATAGATGTAATCAGAAATCACCACGATTTTAAATCAAGCTGCAGTTGTTTTTATACATATTAAGTCGATTTTATTAGAAATCGGAACTAGAATAGTTTCGGGTATTCGAAAATATGAGCAAGAATTTATTGTTATAATAATAAAGCTGTAGATCGCCTTCCATGATTGGATTGTTGAGAAATAAAGAATTTCAATTTCTTCTTTAAATATTTTCAAAACCATTAATATTTTTTAGTTACTTTCATATTATTTTCGATAATTTTACTAATTTTCTTACATTTGAGCCTAACTGAAAGTTAGCATAATGTCTTTACAATGTACTTTTTTATAATGCTATCTCAGATTTTTTTTTTAATTTAAGAATGACTTGCGGAGTTCTCCATAAACACATATTAAATTTTTAATCTGTTTATTTCAGAATCACATCCGAATCCTAGCATTTTAAAATAATGTAAAATTCTTTAGTGCTCGACTGTAGTTCGATACTCTTAGCGTCTGTGACATATAAAATATTTTTTTTTAAATTGGTTTATTAAAGTGGTTAACTATTGCATTAAAGGAGTACAGGAAAAATATTTTCATTTAAAAAAATTATTGTAAAACACTGATAATTTTATATTTTTTGTATTTCATTACTTTTGGTATAAAATTTACATCACATTCGTTTGTCTCCGTTTCAATTTCCATGTTATTTATTATTTAATATTACATAATATAATATTGAAAATATGCGAAATACATAATGTATTTATTTTCAGAAAAAAATAAAATTTCATACCAACTGGGGCATATAAGATTAAATATCTCATATATGTACACTATTTATATAATTATTTTTAAAAGTAGATTTTAAAAAGTATTTTAAAAATTAATAAAAAAATAAAATAAAAATTAAAATTTTATGCTATTAAATATTAAAATACGTTATACATATTAGTATACATGTGTATATGTATATGTACACAATGTACTTTAAATGATTTTAGGGATTTCGAATCAGGAATATAAAAATTAATTGTATGCATTGACCATATTTTTGTAAATTGTAAAAAAAAAAATATAATTTTCATTTTATTGATT